CACAGTATCTAGCAGCTTGTATTATCATGTTTACAGCAGTCAGCAGTGTCTAGCAGCTTGTATTATCATGTTTGCAGCGGTCCACAGTATCTAGCAGCTTGTATTATCATGTTTACAGCAGTCAGCAGTGTCTAGCAGCTTGTATTATCATGTTTGCAGCGGTCCACAGTGTCTAGCAGCTTGTATTATCATGTTTACAGCGGTCAGCAGTATCTAGCAGCTTGTATTATCATGTTTGCAGCGGTCAGCAGTATCTAGCAGCTTGTATTATCATGTTTACAGCGGTCAGCAGTATCTAGCAGCTTGTATTATCATGTTTACAGCGGTCAGCAGTATCTAGCAGCTTGTATTATCATGTTTACAGCGGTCAGCAGTATCTAGCAGCTTGTATTATCGTGTTTGCAGCGGTCACGAGGGCTCGCCGCTCACGCAGCTCGAGTCGACCATCGCCGACCTTGATCGCCGCAACATCGGCAGGGTCGTCGGCCGGCGGCTGGAGGTCAGCAACGACGAGAGCCGGGACGTGAGTCTGCCCGACACCGACAGCTCGCAGGACCAGTACGGTGAGTGCAGCGCCCTCTAGTACTCTCGCGCGCGCGCGGACTCGACCTTTCTCGCGACTTTCTCGATCTCTCGGAATTTTTCTCGAATTCCAGTCGGTTTCTCGTAATCTCGCTCCTAGACTTCACGACCTTTTTGTGACTTTTCCCTCGCGCGCAGAGACGAACGAGAACGCGGCCCCGCACCCGGCCGGTATCGTCTGCCGCCGCGTCGGCTACTACACGATCCCGTCCCTCGACGAACTCGCTGCCATCGCCACCGGCAACGACGACGACGACGACGACCACAACGACGATGGATATGACGGAGAAGACAGAAGCTGCCCGGTGGAGAACTTCACGGTGGGACGCGAGGGGTACGGGTCGGTGTTCTTCCCCGGCGTGACGGACGTCGGCGGACTCAACCTCGACGAGATAGGTACGTTCGCGCAGGCGCCCCCTTGTGGTGGTATTCGGTATTTCATGTCGAGGGGTTGTTGATCGGTAGTTTAGCGATAGCGTTAATGTATAGCCCTGGCAGGGAGCGGCGGGGGGTGTATACTCGTGGCGGCAGTGATGGTATTTCCGGCCGGAGTAATTAACTGGTAGTTTTCGGCCGATCGTTACCACGATAAGTTGCGCGGAAAAAAAAAACAATGCTCGGCGACGAAGTGGCGCTAATTTAAACTGCAAACTGGATTATCTTGAACGACCTCGGGTATCCGAGCATGCGGCTACGGTATCCGAGGGTGGCGTGATTATTTCGGTTTAGAAGGACGTGGCTACGATATATATGATAATAATATATATAATAATCGTACATTTACAATCTGCGCTAGCCTAGACTGCCTCCGAGATCAATTGTATCTGACCGGCGTGCATTGCGCGGCGCCCCTGGCGGCGACCTTGATTTTTGACCTTTTCCGCGTCGTTCTTCAGTGCATTTCCGGAGGAAGGAGGTGACGGTCTATCCAGATGACAGCTGCAAGCCTCCGGTCGGGGAAGGTCTCAACAAGAAAGCTGAGATCACACTCGATGCAGTCTGGCCCAACGACAAGACTACACACTCCCCGATCAAGGTGTGTGTGTACTCGCGTGCGTGCGTGCGAGCGAGCGTGCGTGCGTGCGTGTTCGAGCATGCGTGCGTGCGTGTGTATATGTTTCATTGTTTTACATCCCGCTTCTCTTCCTGACCAGACGAAATCAGGCGAGGGGAAAAAAACTAACCGCATTTACGCAATAGCAACTGATTGATAATCTGAAACGAATGCAAAGATGATGCGTGCGCGCGGTGAAATTATGCGCAAATACTGATAATTCGTTGGTGGCGGTGGTACTACACATGCAATCGTCGCGGTCTATAGGATGGCTTACGATGATCTACTATTTATCTATTACATTAGTGTACAGTGTATATACATACTTTTATTAGCTCATCTGACATAGTCAGATGCAGCTTGTAGAATCGCATGATCGTCCGTCCGTCCGTCCGTGCGTCCGTCCGGGCGTCAACAGTTGGGCACAAATCTTAACCGCTCGACGTACGGTCACGATATTCGGGTCGTTGGGGGGGATTGTCAAAACGAGTTGGGATGTCGAAGCTGGGGGTCAAAGGTCAAAGGTCAAGAGGTGTAAAAGAAGGGGGAACATTCACTCCTTAACTTAAGGTATAGGGAGGAAATGCAGAATTGCGGCACAAATCTAAACGGCTCGACCTAGGCTCGTGATAGTCGGTGTATAGCATCATGGTAGGAAAAGCCATCACTGTGCCGAAATTGGAGGTCACAGGTCAAAGGTCAATGGGCACAGGGCAGATTTTAGACATTTTCTGAGGACATGGTCTGACGGAGCGATTGAAAAACTTTTTTGTTTCAGCGGTGAGCTAGCATTTTTATGGCTTTATTGAAAGGACCATGAAATCTGCTTTCCACTGACGTGCGAAGAGTAAGTGTCAGATAACCTTTTGACCCTCAAGAGGAGGGTTAAACATGGATTTGTTGACTGTTAACAAAGGAGTGAACTGCTTTTGCTATTAGAGCCCCCTCCCCCCACCCTCCCCCTACCCTCCATCTGCGATAGTGGGCGTGTCCTAACAATGATGTGTACGCAACTGCGTGTCTGCATATCTGCGCCTAACAAATGTGGTACTACGCACGACTGAAATTTTACGTTTATAATCGTAGCAACAGACCTCAGATGAGCCCAGACGCTCTGCGGCTCTTGTTATATATGTATATATATATGTGTGTTTATATGTTATCTGTGTGTTTGCAGGATCCGTCGCGGCTAACGGTGATTGGTTACCAGGAGAAGCTGGAACGCGCGACCGGTCGTCTCGCCGCCAAGTTCATCGACTATCGGCCGTGGACGGGCTCCTGGGTGTTCCAGGCAAGTCAACGGGGCGAGGGAGAGAGAGAGGGGGGAAGGAGGGGAAGAGAGAATGAGAGAGAGAGGAAGAGAGAGCGAGAGAGGGGGAAGGAGGGAGAGAAAGAGAGAGCGAGAGAGAGAAAGAGAGAGAGAGAGATTTATTTCATCCATGTTCTCGTGTAATTAATTGCGGTGTTCGTTAGACATTTGCGTGGTGTTCGTTGGACGTTCACTTGTTGTTCGTTGGATGTTCACTTGTTGTTCGTTGGATGTTCACTTGTTGTTTGTTGGATGTTTATCCTGGCCTTCTCCCGATCCTGCAGGTTCAGCACTTCTCCAAATACGGCCTGCAGGATTCCGACGAAGACGACGTTAGTCCGGAACTTCTGAAGCAGCGGCAGCAGCAGCAGGACACACAGCGGAAGCAGGAAGGACAGCAGCAGCAGCAGCAGCAGCAGCAGCAGCAGCAGCAGCAGCAGCAGCCGGCGGCGGCTGGCCAGGTAACGACCCAGTTATCGAAAAGAAAATCGATCCCAACATTAGTCTTAACTTTAATCTTTTCTCACGGACCGTTGTCGGAGTCAATTTACACTCATACTCAGCGTATAGAAGTCCAGTTTTACCCGAAAAATTTGTTGATGATGTTGTTACAAAATGATAAGAGGCACGTGCTGTATATGCGTGCATGTCTGTATATTATATTTATGAAATATATATATATATATATAGGGGTAGAAATAAGGACAATATGCAAGTTAGTCCGAAGGGCTAGTAAGGTAAGGTTTGTACTAGCCATTCTAGTTTTCAACTAGCCCTTAAAAGCATGATGTTGATAGTGGTTGCACGGGAAAATTGTTGATCTCACGAATGCTCCGAGATGCTTTGTGAGGGTATTGTGGACTGAATTTGAATGCTCACAAACCGCAATTAAATTCCCATTAATCATACACTGATATATCCTAAAACGGGCGGAATTACGAAATCTGGTCTGGAATTGTTTACTTGCCCGACGGGCAAGCCACCCTGGCCTTTAACTAGCCCTTCCAAACAATTACTAGTCCCGGGCTAGCGGGCTAGCGGCGAATTCGACCCCTGTATATATTTATGATAATATATATATATATGATATTTATGATGTATATATTTATGTATATATATATATGATATGCGTGTAGATCAACTCGTTAGTCGCTGCGTGATTTCACTAATTAGGAGGGCGCCGCCGTGTTTTTTCCCCCGCAGGCCGCGAAGACCTTGATCCCGGACAAGATGACCTTGACGGGAGAGCAGGCGGCGACCGCGCCGGGAAACCAGGAAGACCAGCCGATGGGAGAGGAGAACGACCTTGAGACTTATCCTTCAGATGAGCTTGCCATGCCGATGGAGGAAGCTGACGTGGGATACGATCTAGGTAGCTACGCGCGTGCGTGCAGACTGACATACACATGTGTATATACCATACCTACATACATACATACATATTTGTTACCTCCGCCAGGGGCGTGGCGGAGGTTATGTTTTCACCGGCGAATGTTTGAGTGTTGGTTGGTTTGTTTGTGAACATGCACGTTTCAGTTCACTTCCGCTAGGTGCGCTGGCTGTAGACTTACAAACACGCAAACACAGGCTAAGGGGCAACCACAGTCCTCCCCCACCTGCACGCTCGCACTAATCCGGATCCAATTAATTATTTAATTAATTAATTAATTAATTAATTTTTCCACTTAATTAATTAATTAATTAATAAAAAATACCACATTGAGAGAATTCAGCTGCCTTGGCGGAGGTCTGTGCTCTCCGAGTGCTCTAGTTGTATTATGAAACTGTTGTGTTCTGTGCTTTATAAAATCATGTTGTAAACCATGTTGTTATGTATGTTATGTTATGTAATTTGTTGAATAAAATAAGAAGCTTGATACAGGTAAAGCAAACTGTTACCCTCCCTTTGTTACTTCTTCTTAAAAAGAACGTTCGACGGTTATAATTGTGCACGTATTATAATTCGGCGCCGCGTTGCGCGGGTGTGCGCTCTCCACTGACCGCTCCTTCTGGCAGGTGGCGCCACCGACAAGTCGAGCTCTCACCAGATGGCGAGCGTGCTTGGCGTGAACGCTCATCGTCTGCAGGTGATGAAAGCTTCCTTCTTCGATGAGGAAGAGGACATGGCCGTCGGGGACGAGAAGGATGCCCTCAAATCGCGCCTCGGTGAGTCGGCTTCTCGGGTGCCCCTCCCCCCCTTCTCCTCCGGGTTACAAGAAGATCTACTTCAGAAATGGAAACCGGTGTTTAATCGGGTTATTATGGGCTGCGCACGTATTTGTATATGTGGTACGTTTAAATCGTGCTACGTAAACAATTTTGCCGGTCACTTGAAGAATTTTTTTTTAACTTGAACCCCGTCCACGATCGTTTTCCAAATCTCGAAACGCAGAGCAATATTCCCCCTTCTAAAAGAAAAAAAAAGAATAGAAAAAATAACCGCGAGTTCCTTCGTCGTCTGCGCTTATCGACAATCACGTGTTCGTCACACGCGCCCGCGTTTCCGCGGAATTCTGATTTTTCTAAATTTTCGAATCTGTCGGAAAAAGAAAAAAATTTGCCGAGATTTTCGCCAGGGGGCGCCGACGGCGGCTCGCTTTAACTCTTCGTTCTCTCTCCTCGACAGAATCGCGTCGCTCGCGGCGCGGTCTCGGCGGCGCCCTCTACAGGGGGTCGCCTCGGGCCGCCCCGGACGTCGCGGGGAAGACGCTTGACGATAGCGGGATCCTGCAGCAGACGTACCGGCTCGGTCTCGCTGACCGCTTCGTTCCCTTGACCCGCGCGGACACACACCCACCGCACAAGGCCACGGGTGAGTGCGGGGGGAGGGAGGGGGGGGAGGGTGAGTGCGGGGGGAGGGGAGGGGGAGGGTGAGTGCGGGGGGAGGAGGAGGGGGAGGGGAGGGGGAGGGTGGCTGTGTGCGTGTGTATGGTGCTGAAATATCCATTTGTTGGCACGTCGTAACTTTTAGCACATAATACACAATAACCGATGTGCGAGACCTGCAAATATATATGAATAAATTAATCGTGCGAAATCTCAACGACGCCTCGCGTCTCTCGTTGCAGGCGTGCCGGCGTTCGCGCTCCCCTCCGACGCCAAGCACCGAGCGATCATCC